CAGGTCAGGGCAGACATACCTAGGGTTCAGGTTCTATCCCCAGTCCGGGCATGTACGGGAGGCAACCGATGGATGTTTCTCTCTCTTTCCTTCCCCCCTCTCTCTAAAATCAATTAAGTGCCAAAACCGGTTTGGCTCAGTGGATAGTGTCTGTCTGCGGACTGAAAGGTCCCGGGTTCGATTCTAGTCAAGGGCATGACTGATTTTTTTACAGAGAGAAAGGGAGAGGAATAGAGAGTTAGAAACATCGATGAGAGAGAAACATGGATCAGCTGCCTCCTACACACCTCCTACTGGGGATATGCCCGCAACCAAGACACATGCCCCTGACCAGAATCGAACCTGGGACCTTTCAGTCCGCAGGCTAACGCTCTATCCACTGAGCCAAACCGGTTTCGGCCACTCAGTGCACTTTACTGGGGCCCAGGAGAGGGGCTGACGCTGCAGGAGGAGTCAGTTCATGGCCCTCCCAGCCCGGCCAGGCCCTGAGCCCACTGGGCCCAGGGAGGACGGCCGCCCCTCCCGCCCCAGGCCCACCCCGACCCCCTCCCAGGGGAGCTTGTCTGTCCCAGGGAGGCCCCTGCAGCACAGGGGGCCCCCCTTCACGCTGCCCCGCGTCTGTGTCCCTGTGGGGCTGGGACAGGCCAGTGGGCTGTGAGGACACGCCCGGGCGCCCTGCCTTCCTCCGGGCGGGCAGGCAGGACCTGCTGGCAGGATGGGCCGGGCACCTCCTGGGCACGGGAGCTGGGACACAGACACACACAGCCCGGACCCGAGGGCTCGGAGGGGCGGCCGGTGGAGTGGCTGCGGAGGGGACACTGAGAGGGGCAGGGGGGCCGGTGCACAGGCACCGCGTGGACAGGACACGGCAGCGCTGGGGCGGCAGGTGCTGACCGGGCCGCCGGGGGGACGACTCAGGTCGGACTGAAGCTCCTCCGGGGACATGTCCTCTCCTCTCCGGGGGCCCTGTCAGCTCCCTCCCAGTGAGCCAGGCCCTGGATGGGAGTCCTCCGCATTGTCATTCCTTTCTGGGTGCGGAGCGGGCGGAGGCGCAGCGTTGGGGAGGCTGGGCCAGGGCGCCCTCTGCTGGGCACAGAGAGGCAGCGCAGGGGAGGAGGAGGAACGGGGATTTTCTCTCCATTGTTAACACCATTCCAGACACCCACCCACCCCCGCTTTGCCCACCTCTCCCTGGCCCCGCACCCCTCCCCTGGCCCGCACCCTCCCCAGCCCCGCACCCCTCCCCTGGCCCGCACCCTCCCCAGCCCCGCACCCTCCCCAACCCCGCACCCCTCTTCTGGCCTGCACCCCTCCCCTGGCTCGCATCCTCCCCAGCCCCGCACCCCTCCCCTGGCCTGTACCGCTGTGTCTGTGGGCTAGGTATACAGGGTATCCCCCCAAAATGTGTGCACACGTTGAGTTAAATCGGAAAAGAAAGGAGCATCAGTTGAGCCATCAGCTGGTAAAGTGTGTACACACTTTTTGGGGACACCCTGTATATGTCCTCTGGCTACTCTCTTAGGTCCTCTCTCCCTCCCTCTGTCCCTTTCTCTCTCCCTCCCTCCCTCCCTCCCTCCTCCTTCTGTCCCTCCTTCCTTCCCTCCCACCCGCCTCCCTTGCTCCCACGCACAGTCCGGGGGACCTGCTCGCCTCCCGGGGCTCACAGCCCGGGCGCAGGGGCAGGAAGGGGGGGCAGGAAGGGGGACAGGGTCCCGCTGGGGGGCGGGAGTTTAAGCGGAGGAGCGGGTGGGAGGGAAAGGTGCCCAGAGGAGGGCGGGCTGCAGTGTGGGCGGGGCCTCCTGGGCCCAGGGGAGAAGTGGGTGTTCCTCCGGGGTCCCCGGCCCCAGGCCCCACCGGGAGCCACAGAAAGCGGGGAGCTGGGGGCGCTGCGGAGGGAGGGTGGGAGGGGCGGAGCAGGCCGGGCCCAGATAGGAAGATGGATGGGGGTGGGGGGCGGGCCCAGGGTCCCACCGGGCTCCTAGTTGGAGGGGGGCATGTCCCTCCCCGTCCTCGAGGAGGGGGGGTCCCCCAGTCTGTAGTCTGATGGGGCTGACACCCGGGGTCCCCACGCAGAGCTCCTTCCTGTTCTCGGTGGCGCCCCTTCCACCCAGGACGTCCGAGCTCCCCGACAACCCACCGGGCACCTGCTCACCTCCCCCCTTTCCACTGGGCGCCCTGGGGGAGGCCCCCAGCAATATCTGGGGAACATTGTGTAATCTCTCTGTAATGTCCACTCCGGCGGCCCCCAGCTGTGGGCCTCAGGATCTCACATTGTCAGCAAGGACCAGCGCCCCAAAGGGGCTGCGTGCAGGAGGTTCCCTCTGCGTCAGGAATTTCACCTGAGAGAGAAAGTGCTCATGTATGAGCCCGTTAGAAACAGCAGCAATGCCAACACCGGTGTGGCTCAGTGGATAGAGCATCGGCCTGCGGACTGAAAGGTCCCGGGTTCCATTCCGGCCAAGGGCATGTACCTTGGTGTCAGGCGCATCCCCAGTTGGAGTGTGCAGGAGGCAGCTGATCCGTGTTTCTCTCTCATCGATGTTTCTAACTATCTCTCTCCCTTCCTCTTTTCAAAAAATCAATTATATATATATATATATATATATATATATATATATATATATATATATATAAAATCAGCAGCAACAAGCATGTTACGCAGTCACCCAAGTAACACACATGCATTTCCATTGCCGTAATTTCCAAAACCCAAGCTAACTGAGAATGGCCTTGGTTTACATTTGTTTGCAAATCTCTTCCTCCTCGGACTCAGCGGAGGGCGCTGGGTCCCCAGTCGCCTGCCACGCAGCCTCGGGAAAACAGTCTGAGCCTCATGATGACACCGGCTTGCCCTTGGGGGTCCCCAGGGCCCCTAACCCTTGACCCCTGCCCTGGCGCTGCTGCGCTGCCGCGGGGACCAGCAACTTCCGGGATGCCTCCTTCTTCCAGAAGTTTCTGAGTCTCTAATTCTCCACTCAGCTCCTGGAACCACGTCCCCACCTCTCTGTACCACCCCACCAGCTCTGCCCCCGCCTACCCACTCTGCCCACCCCACCCGCTCTGCCCACACCCACCCCCTCTGCCCATCCCCGCCCGCCCCCTCTACCCCACCCCCACCCCCTCTGCACCATCCCCACCCACTCTGCCAACCCCCACCCTCTCTGCCCCACGCCCACCCCCTCTGCACCAGAGAGGAAGGGAGAGAGAGAGAGAAAGAAACATCAGTGATGAGCCCTCGAATGTGGCTGCCCCAGCGGGACTTGTTATGAAAGAGGATGCTCAGTTTGGCTCAGTGGAGAGAGCACCAGCCTGCAGACTGAAGGGTCCTGGGTTCGATTCCCATCAGGGGCACATGCCCAGGTTGGGGGCTCAGTCTTCAGTGGGCGACATCCTGGAAGCAGCTGATGGATGATTCTTTCTCATCATTGAGGAAAATGGCCACTATCTCAGTAATTGTTTTATGGGGACGGCAAGCACAAATAACATTTTGTCTCTCTGGGGATACATGACATCTACTCTGAAAGTTATCTCACCTGTGTCTGGGCACCGACCGAAGGCGGCCAGAGCCGATGTCACTTCCTGCCCGCGGCTTGCGTTTGGGGCCGCATTCTATTTCTGTTGGCGCTGCTCTACAGAGAAGGTGACACCCTTTGGGGCTCCGGAGGGTGAAAGGAGAAGAGAAAAGCAGGGAAACGGGAGCAGCAGGGGGGTTGGCAGGAGAGTGAGGAAGCTGGTAGGCCCAGTTGCCATGGTAACCTTGCAATAAACTCTTCTGACATTAAGGGGGGTGGGGGGGAGAAGCTTGAGAGATCAACCAAAGGACTTGTGTGCATGCCTATAAGCCTAACCAATGGACACAGACACCTGGGGGTGAGGGCATGAGTGGGGGGAATCAGGACACCTGTGTAATACCTTAATCAATAAAGACGTTTTTAAAAAGCTTGAAGTGGTTGGGTGATCTATCTAACAAACGCTTATACAATGGGGAGATCTCAGTACATCATCCCATGGCCGCCTGGGATGGAGCGCGGCGGCGGGCTTTATACCTCACCCCTCAACCCCGTAAGAACCCTAGAAGGAGGGTCAGCGGTTATGGCTATTCCACAGAGGACGCTGAGGGTTAGGGAAGCTCGGCAAGGTGCAGCGGAGATGCGGGAGGGACAGAAGCCCCACAGCTGGACGGCAGTGCGGCGTGTGGGGTGGGGGCGGGGGTGGTGGAGGTGGTGGAGGCAAAGGCTGGGGAAGCAGAGTGTTAAAGCGGCTGTAATAGCCCATGCCCAGCGGGCGGACCCAGGCAGGGAAATACTTTCTTTCTTTTTTAAAAAATAGATTTTATTGATTTTTTACAGAGAGGAAGAGAGAGGGATAGAGAGAAACATCATGAGAGAGTCATCGATCAGCTGCCTCTTGCACACCCCCTACTGGGGATTGCCCGCAACCAAGGTACATGCCCTTGACCGGAATCAACCCCCTTTCAGTCCGCAGGCGGACGCTCTATCCGCTGAGCCAAATCGCTTTCGGCAGGGAAATGCTTTCTTGCAGAATTCCTGTCTGACCCCGCTGGTGACCACGCTCCTATCCAAACCGTGTGCAGGCCCAGGACGCATTGCACCGCATCCTTTCGGGAACAGGACCACAGGCAAGAGCGAGGCCTGTGCACCTGAATGGCGCCTGCACCCCACAGATGCGGCCCGTGTGCCCCCCTGAATCCCCTTCCCACGGAGTGACACCCACCCATCAACTCCGAGCCCAAGCGTGAGTCCGGGTCCCATGGCAGAGCCCTTGGCTTAGGTGTCCACAGCCTCCCCTGAGCATCTGGCCTGTGGGGGGCTCATCGCTGAAGGCGGTGCTGTCAGCGCCCACATCCTCCTTTCTTCCTCCGGCCCGGCCCTTTAAGAGCCGGTCCCCAGAACCCAGCTCGGACCCGCCGCGTTGCCATGGAGACCAGGCCCCGCTCACCGAGGGGCCAGCCAGTGCGCGCAGGCGCAGGACGGAGCTGCCGGAGACGCAGCGGAACTGCTGAGCGCGGAGCGGAGGGCGCGCATCCCGACGCGGCGGGAGCCCGGCCCCGCGGCTGCCCTGCCCGCGCCGCTCCCGCTCCCGGGGCCCCGGCGCCCCCGCCCCGCGTCAGGCCCGGCGTCACCCGGGCCGGGGACGAAGGGCGGAGCGGAGAGGCCGGCGGCAGCCCCCGGCCGGAGACGTGAGCCCCCTCCGGGTTGCCCGACAGCCCGGGGAGGGGGCCTCGGGCCGGGCCGCTGCGTCCGCCGGCCGGGGGCTGGGGATCCCCGAACCCGAGCCCGAACCCCAGCCCCCAGCCCCGCCACGTTCACGAGCCCGAACTCCGAGCCCCGAGTGGGATCGGCGCTGGGCACCATGGCCTGGAGCCCCCTGCAGGGCTGGTGCCGCGGGCTGGCCGTGGACGCGCGCCGGGCCCTGCTACTCACCGGCATCCCGGCGAACAGGACCGTGCGCGGCGGGCGGGCCCAGGCCGCCCTGCTGGAGCTCCTGGGGGACATGGACCCCGCCGCCCTCCCCAGCGAGGTCTCCGGCGGCGGGGCCGGCGCCTGGAGTGTCCTGTGCGGGGCCCGCGCGGAGGACACCCGGGTCCTGCGGCGGCTGAAGCGCCTGCTGCTGGAGGAACCGGCGCCCGGGGGCCTCGCCCGCCGCCCCCGCGGCCGCAGAGGCTCAGGCCCAAGCCCCGGGGTCGGAGCGCGCGGCCCGGGACGCTGGACCCGATCCCGGCGCAGCCTGCAAGGGGCCGGCGGAGTCGTCGCCGCCAAAGCAGAGCCGGAGGCCACAGGTGGACGCCGAAGGGCAAGAAGCAAGGCCGAGGGGGTCGGCGGTTCCCCTGCAGCTGCGGCAGGCGCTGGTCCGAGTACTCCTCCTCCTCCTCCTCCTCCTCCTCCTCGGACAGCCTGGGCATCGTGATCGAGGAGCTGGACGAGGCGGCGCTGGGCGGGCTGGCGGCGCAGAGGGCGCTGTACGCCACGCTGCAGGCGGCCGCCCGGGAGCTGGTGCGGAAGGGGGCGCTGCGGGGGGACCCCGAGGCCGCGCGCGGCGGCCCCCGCGAGCTCCTGGCGCTGGTCACCGTGACGGACAAGGCCAAGAAGGAGGCGCTGGAGAAGGACACCCCGGGGGCCGAGTCCATCAGCCTGAACGTGGAGGACTTGAGCGGGGTCTTCCACCTGGTGGCCCTCCTGGCTGTGCGGGACACGTGGTCCGAGGGGCCGGCGGGCAGCGACGCTCCGGAGAGCAGCGGCGACGACACGACGCAGGACAGCGGCGGCGGGGACCTGGAGCCGGAGGCGGGCCACCCCGAGTTCGTGGCCATCGTGGCCTACACGGACCCCGCGGACCCCTCGGCCCGGGAGGAGATGCTGAAGATCGCCTCGGTGATCGAGTCGCTGGGCTGCAGCGACCGGAGCGCGAAGCGGAAGGAGCGCAAGGACGCGCTGCCCGAGGTGCTGTCCGTCATGGCCAAGGACACGGGCGCGGCGCGCGTGCGGGTGCGGGAGGCCGGCCGCCTGGTGGACGCGCTGGTGCTGCGGGAGGCCCGGGACGACGGCGACCTGCTGGAGTGCATCTCCTCCCCGGCGCAGCCCGAGCCCCGCCGCCAGGGGGCGCCCGCCCCGCGCGGCCTGTTTGCCGGCTGGGGGGCCGGGGAGGAGCGGGGCGAGGTGGGCCTGCTGGAGCTGGTGGCGCTGCTGGCGGCCAGGGACATGGCTGAGGGGGTGAAGGAGGAGAGGGAGGGGGCCCGGGAAGGCGGGACGTGCCAGCACCACCACCCGGGCAGCCTCGGGGAGCTCCTGGCGGCGCGTGAGATCGGAGAGGAGGAGGAGGAGGAGGACAAGGACGAGGACGAGGAGGAGGACGAGGACGAGGACGAGGACGAGAAGGGGACTTCGGAGGGTGGCTCCGAGGAGACATCGGAGGACACGGAGAGTGAGGAGTCGGAGCCTGGGGATCGGGCTTCCCGGAAGCCCCGGGCCAAGCGCCCCCGCACGGCCCACAAGGCCCTGGGTTCCGCTGGCGCCCCCGCGGGGACCCGCAAAACCCGACGGGGAGGCCGCGGCCGCGGCGACCGGGGCGACTCTCCCGGGAAGAAAGCAGAGGAGGAGGCGGCGGGCGGCCAGAAGAAGAAGAAAAAGAAGAAAAGGAAGAAGAAGGGGCGCGGGGGAAGAAGGCTCGCGTGGGCGGGAGGCCGGCCCTCCAGGGCTGCTAGCGGCTCCGGAGAAGCGAGGCGGGCGGCCCAGAGGCCTCTCCCCGTGTCCCCTCCGGCCCCCCTTCCGGCAGCAGAGGCCGGCCTCCCGCTGAGCCGCGCCTTGCGCTCTGCGCCCTGCCAGGCGCTGGCCTCGGGTCTCCCCGTTACCTCCCAGCCCCTCCTCTGCAGGCGGCGAGCGATCCTAACGGAAGACGGAGAAAGAAACCCACCCTTCCCCCCCCCCGCAGGCAGCAGCCCCAGGCGTAAGGGCTTCGCTGGGCGTGGCTTTGGGGGACCCGGATTGGCAGGGGGGGGGGGCGAGTGCGCCCTGGACGCGGGTACCTGGGAAGGCCAGCGGTGCCAGGGAGTTCTTGGTGGCTCTTCGCGGTGCCCCGAAGGTTCCAGACACGTGCTTCCGGCTAGCGTTTGTGACACACCCCCACCACCACCCCCCAAATCTGATGGGGGCGGTGAGGGAGGCTTGGCCGCCGGCGGGCCAGTGGATGTCAGGGTGAAGCCGGCTGGCGGCTCCCCTGGAAGGGGGAGGGGGCGAAGAGGGGGGAGGAGTGGCCACCTGTCTCCCCACCTGGGGAGGAGGAGGAGGAGGAGGAGGAGGAGGAGGAGGAGGAGGAGGAGGAGGAGGAGGAGGAGGAGGAAGGAGAGACCATCCCTGCCCACCTCCGGAGCCGCGGATGCAAAGGAATCAGCAAAAAGGCCACAGGCCGGCTGTCATGCACACTGCGCAGTGATTTCCAAAAGTCCTAATTACCTGCCAATCTCAGTTACAGCAATTCCCATCCAGGTTGATGGCTTCTCTCTGCCGCCAGGCGGCGCCCTCTCCCCGTCCCCCAGGCCTATGGCTCCCCCGTATCCCACCAGCTGCCCTCCCTCCCTGACTGGCCAGTCCCTCCGCACTTGGCTTTGCAGCCCCTGACCAAGATGGCAGGGAATGAACTGCCAGAGGGACCCCGAGGGGACACCCAGGGGCAGGGCCTGTCCCGCCAGGGGAGGAGATGGCCAGCGTCCTGTGCCTAGAGGGGAGGACGTGCACCTCGATTTGACCCCCCCGCCCCTCAGCAGCCCGGTCAGCACCTGCCGTCCCACGCGCTGCCGCGTCCTGTCCACGCGGTGCCTGTGCACCGGCCCCCCTGCCCCTCTCAGTGTCCCCTCTGCAGCCACCTCCACCGGCCGCCCCTCCGAGCCCTCGGGTCCGGGCTGTGTGTGTCTGTGTCCCAGCTCCCGTGCCCAGGAGGTGCCCGGCCCATCCTGCCAGCAGGTCCTGCCTGCCCGCCCGGAGGAAGGCAGGGCGCCTGGGCGTGTCCTCACAGCCCACTGGCCTGTCCCAGCCCCACAGGGGCACAGACGCGGGGCAGCGTGAAGGGGGGCCCCCTGGGCTGCAGGGGCCTCCCTGGGACAGACAAGCTCCCCTGGGAGGGGGTCGGGGTGGGCCTGGGGCGGGAGGGGCGGCCTGTCCTCCTTGGGTCCAGTGGGCTCAGGGCCTGGCCGGGCTGGGAGGGCCATGAACCGACTCCTCCTGCAGCGTCAGCCCCTCCCCTGTGCCTGTCACCTGGGCCCCAGTAAAGTGCACTGAGTGGCTGGCTGGTCTCTGCTCTGGGGGGTGGGGGGTGGGAGGGAGGGGTGTGTGTGGGGCTGGGCACCAGAGGCCCCGCCTGTCATGTCTGACGTCCAGCCAGACCCCCCTGGACTGCCTTGTCACCCACTTACCCCCAGTGTCCTTCCTGCCTCAGGGATGTGCCCCCACCCCCTGCCCTGTCCTGCCCCCTCCCCCTTAGATCCTGCCAGGCCTTAGCTCTGCCCGATGCCTCCTGCCCTAGCTCCTCTGCTGCCTCCTGCCCTGTCTTCTCTTGCCAGGCTCCAGGCCTCCATCGTGTTTAGGTCCCTGCCCCTGGACCCCCTTTGCTGGCCCCACCCAACGACAGGTCCTGGGGCCCCAGCCCTCACCCCGATCCTGGCCCCTAGCCCACCTCCCTCCCCACAGCTTGCTTTGTCTCTACCCCATTTGCTAGCTTTCAGGTCGGTATCCACCCAACTATACCTGCTGGGACCCGGCCTGTCACCCCTCACCCAGCCCAGCTCTCTGCCCTCCCCTCACCCACTAGGCCCAGCTCTGCGCTCGGCCCACACCCCCCTCCTTGGTGCTCTGAATGCCCGGTTCCCTGTAACCTCTGCCCAGCGCCCTGCTCCGTGCTGACCTTCAAGGCTCTGCCCTGGACCCCAGACCCAGAGGCCTCCCTCTGACCTGGGTCCCTGCCCCAGAGCCCTCCTCCCTGCCCCCCCCCCCCCCCCACATACAGCCACAGGGCTGCCCGCCCTCCCCCTCCCGTCAGGACTGGTCTGGTGCTGATGGAGTCACTCCCCTTTCCAAACCCGTTAGAGGCTCCCCACATACCCACAGGCCACAGGCGTGCCCGCCCAGGGTGTTTGCCTGGGTCTGTCCTTCACTTCCTGCGGGTCTTTCTTCAGGGTCACATGGGGGGGGGGGCTCCCACCACCCCGTTACCAAGGTCACCACCCCCACCTGGTCTGTAGCTCTGACTGCCCCCCCCCCCGCACTTTTTCCTTCTAAGGAGCCTCTGGGTGTATTTCTCTAGGGGCTTAGGAGAGGGAATTGGCAGGAGTTTTGCAGGCAAAGTGCAGAAAGGGGGCGTGGGTCCCCCAAAGATTAGAAACGCAGCACCGGGCCCCGGGGTGCTGCTGCCCCCGCAGCCCAGCGGCCTCCGGACAGGACAACGCCCCCTCCCGCCGCCACCGCCACCGCCGCCCGAGCCCTGTGCCCGCAGCGCGGCTGGCAGAGGAGCAGGACAGGCTGAAGCTGAGGGTGCACCAGCTCAGGAGGTGGGGGTGGGGGTGAGGGTGGGGGTGGGAAGACGGGGTGGAGGCGGGAATGGGGTGGGTGCGGGGGGTGGATCTGGGCGGCAGAGTCGGGCGGTGAGTGAGGTTCCCCCTGTCCCCCGCCTCCAGCCCGGCCCGGGGCGCACACGGGGCCGCGGCTCCGGGGTCCGGTGGCCGATGTCGGAGGAGCCGGGAGGGCGGGCGGGACCCGCTGCGGGAGGAGGCGCTGGAGCCGCCGCGGGGGGGGGGGGGGCCGGGGGGAGCGGGTCTCAGGCCCCGGAGCAGCCGCAGAGGCCGGAGGTCCCGCAGGGAGGCCCCTCCGCAGCAGCGGTCCCCGCGGGGCCCCCGGGGTGCGGAGGCCCCGGAGTGGGACGGAGCGGGGCGCGGGCGCCTCCGGTGGGAGAGAAGTCGGGGTCCCGGGAGGAGACGGGGTGTCTGCGAGGCTGGAAGGACGTGCTGACCTTCAAGGCTCTGCCCTGGACCCCAGGGTGCCTGTGCACCGGGTTCCGGTCCTAACCTTCCCGCTCACTAATGCAGACGCGGGTGCGGAGGGGGTGCGGAGAGGGGGCTGGGGGGTGCGGTGGGGCAGGTGCTAATGTCCCAGGAAAGCAGGTGGCTGCGGAGGAAAGCCGAGCGGGCGGGCCCAGGAGGCGGGCAGGAGGGTGGGGTTCCCCCGCTGAAGCTGCGGGAAGCCGTGAGCAAAGCCCGAGGAGGGAGCGGCGAGGAGCGGATACCAAGGGGAGCGCACGCGGGGGCGGGGGCAGCCGGTGCCGAAGCCCCAGCCCGGGCTGAGGGGCTGGGGGGTTGGGGGGTGTTCGCTTGTGGTCACTGACCCTGCAGGGCCGGGGTCGGGGAGGGTTCAGGGGAGACAGCGTTTACATGGGGCGGATGTCTAATGAGATCCTTGTAACTGGCGTTTAGATGTGAGCCAGGCTTGAAATGAATGTCCGGAGCCCCTGGGGTCCGGATCGGGGTCGGGGCGTGCAGAGAAGTGGGGGTGTGCTGAGGATGAACCTGTCAGGGCCCCTCTGCCGGCTCAAACGGAGCCGGGGCGCCCCGAGATCTCGAGAATGAGACCAGGTCCCCGAATGGCCCGGAGGGAGAAGTCAGGGTTCCTGGGACAGAAACGACACTCCTTCCCCTCCATGTGGTTCCCTAAAGCCTGGTGCTCACAAGACCTTCCCTCCTCCCCCCATTTCCCTCAGCTCAGGCTCCGCCCCATCACACAGGACGCCCCGCCCCCCTGCTTCCAGGCCCGCGGAGGCGGGTCCAAGTTCGCGAGTTGCCTCGCGCTATTTTCCCGCCAGGGGGCGCTCCAAGCCCGCGCTCAGGATGCGCCCGCGGTCCCCACCAGGGGGCGCTGGGGAGCGAAGGTTTAAAGTCCTGCAGAGTTGCCTCCTCTCTCCCTATAACCATTATGGTTTGTCTCAGGTTCGGTTCTTGCAAGGGTATTTCTTGGGTCACATGACCTCACTCACCTAGAGGAAATAATGAACAACATAAACTGATGAACAAAAACAGACCCAAGAGAAAGAGAAGCAGCGATCCGACTCTCAAAATTCAGAGGGAAAGTGGGAGAGGGTGGGGGGAAGGGGGAGAGACCAACCAAAGGACTTGAGTGCATGCAGATGGGCCTAGCCAGTGGCCTGGACTACAGGGGGGTGGGGGCATATGTGGGGAGGGGTTTGGGGTGGGAATGGGGGGATGAGGACAATTAAGTGATACCATAATCAACAAAATAAAAAATAAAAAAATTAAGTCGTGCACAGGCGGTGCCTCTGAGCACTCCCAGGTGCCTGGGACTCTAGCCCATCAGCCCATTAGCCCATTGCCCGGAAGCTCCGAAGCCGCTGGTCCTCCAAACGCCAGGCTGCGGGCAGTGATTTCCTGCATGGCTGCGGCCTCTCCAAGGGGGACCCACCGCATGACCATCCGGAAACCTGTTCGGCGCCACTCCGACCTATCGCACCAGGACCTGCATTTTACACGGTTCTGGGTGACCTGGCGACACGCCGCCCTCGGTTCATTGCCATGTGCGCTACCAACAAAAGAGGAAACACGTGTGCAGATGAGCAAGAGATCCGGTTTGCACGGTGTTCCTGCAGAGCGTAGCGGCCAAGAGTCTAATCTCCGGAGGGGACCCGGGTTCCGTCCTAACCTTCCCGCTCACCTTCCCCGCGTCACACCACCTCTGAGTGCGGCTTCCGCATCTGCAAACGGGGAGGGGGGAGGGGACAGGGGGGGTGCTGGGAGTAGCCCCTTCCTCACAGACTACTGGGCTGTTTCCTTGAGATGCTGAGCACAGAGGTCTCAGAACGGTACCCGGCACTGGGCGGGGTCTAAGCGCCTCACCCATTTCTCCTGCCGCGT